GCTGAGCCCTAGGAAGCCTCGGAGGCCGCGGCGGTGCTGGACGAGTTGACCATCGTGTTCGAGAACGTGACGATGCAGGACAAGGCGGAGGAGGAGCCCAAGGAAAAGTCTCGGCAGCGCCAGATAAAGAAGCTGCGAGCTCGCGCCCGCCGCCAGCAGGAGAAGCAGTAGCAGAAGCAGGCAGAGGCAGCCTCGGAAAGCAGGTCGGCCAGCCCCGCCAGCTTGTCGCCTCAGCTGTCGGCCGCAGACAGGCACGACATCCTGAGGAACTTGCGGCTGTCCGACGACGTGATCGACGGAGCCATGTCGCTGATCCAGGACCAGGTCCCCGAGCTGGGCGGCCTGTACGCCAGCGGTGCAGTGATGTTCCTGGAGGCGTGGCCTCGGGCGCAGCCGCCGCGCTTCGTCCAGATCGTGAACAGGGACACCTGCATGAGCCTGAGCGACATGCGCGACTACCATTCCATCGGCGGGAGTCACTGGCTCACGGTGTCCAACGTGTTCGCCACGAGGCCTGAGGAGGTGGTGGTGTACGACTCGTACTACAGCAGCATGTCTCCGTCGACGGCGGCGCTGCTGAGGAAGCTGTACCTCAACTACGACGACATGCAGGTCCGCTTCGAGCACGTGCAGCAGCAGACGGACAACACGAGCTGCGGAAAGTGGGCCATCGCGTACGCCTTCGACCTGGCCCTGGGCCTCGACCCACGCCAGGCCAAGTACGACTTCGGGAGGATGGCCGGCCACCTTGTCGCCGCCTTCGAGACCGCGACGGTCACGCCCTTCCCGAGGCTGCGCTGATCGCCGGACGAAGCCGAAGCATCGCTTGGATCCAAGGAACTAGGAGACTGAATAAAAAAAAAAAAAAAAAAAAAAAAAACAGGAGAGAGAGAGAGAGAGAGAGAGAGAGAGAGAGAGAGAGAGAGAGAGAGAGAGAGAGAGAGAGAGAGAGAGAGAGAGAAATACATTTTGTTGTTGTAGGTGCCAAGAAGGCAATATGTAGTGGTTACAGCAGACGTTCAAATTGATGTATTTTTTGTAGATGCCAGTGGTGCAATAAAGTCATGTAAATCTATGCAATCTGTAGTTGTAAAAATAAGAAAAAAAAGAAGAAAAAAAAGAAAAAAAAAAAGAAAAAGAAAAAAATATATATACATAATGCACGAGCGCGCCTGCCATCGACCTTGGAGAGGAAGAACGTCACGAAAGCAGCCAGGCCAAGTACGACTTCGGGAGGATGGCCGGCCACCTCGTCGCCGCCTTCGAGACCGCGACGGTCACGCCCTTCCCGAGGCTGCGCTGATCGCCGGACGAAGCCGAAGCATCGCTTGGATCCAAGGAACTAGGAGACTAGGAATGAAAAAAAACAAAACAAAAAAAAAACAGGAGAGAGAAAGAGAGAGAGAGAGAGAGAGAGAGAGAGAGAGAGAGAGAGAGAGAGAGAGAGAGAGAGAGAGAGAGAGAGAGAGAGAAATTTTGTTCTTGTAAATGCCAAGAAGGCAATATGTTGTGGTTATAGCAGACGTTGAAATAAATGTATTTTCTGTAGATGCCTGTGGTGCAATAAAGTCATGCACATCTATGCAATTTGTAGCTGTAAAAATAAGAAAAAAAAATAAATAAATAAAAAAAAGAAAAATATATATATACATAATGCACGAGCGTGCCTGCCATCGACCTTGGAGAGGGACCTCACGAAAGCAGCTTCTCAGACGAGTTTCCTCTGCTTTCTTAACACAATAACAACACAAGCGCACGCAAACACACACACATACAAACATAAATACACACACACATTAAAAAAAAAAAAAAAAAAAAAAAAAAAAAAAAAAAAAAAAAAAAAAAATATATATATATATATATATATATATATATATATATATATATATATATATATATATATATATATATATATATATATCGCTACCTCATTGCAAGAGGGTCGTAACTCCAAATTCCTGATTTCTTAGGAGACGCATTTGAAAATTGCTAAGTCCTATGAATTTGATCATGTTTCACAAAACAACAAAACTTACCATCTTTATATTCACCTAATAAAGATGGTAAGTTTTGTTGTTTTGTGAAACATGATCAAATTCATAGGACTTAGCAATTTGCGACGCCGCATTCTTTCGCCGAGAGCGACGCAGAGCAGACGTGTCGCGTAGCGCTCGCTGATTGGAGGACGAGCCTCGCTTTCGTAGCCCTTGCCTGCGGGTTCCGGCGGATCTTTGCCGCATCAGATTGTGTGCGGGTGTTGTGCCCAGATAAATCCCGCCGCCACGATGGCGGGGAAGCCACAAGACGCCCAGAAAAAACAACGCCAGACCAAGAAGGAGCGAAAGCTGGCCAAGATGGAGAGGAAGAGGCTGGCTGCCGCTGAGCCCTAGGAAGCCTCGGAGGCCGCGGCGGTGCTGGACGAGTTGACCATCGTGTTCGAGAACGTGACGATGCAGGACAAGGCGGAGGAGGAGCCCAAGGAAAAGTCTCGGCAGCGCCA